AGAATAGAGCACATTACGAAGACTGCGAAGGACTGCGAACCACAGCGATACAGCTATGTTCCGAAACATATAGCTTTCTTGTCCGATCCGTTAAGTCCTTCGGAATTATGTCTCTAAACTGTTGAACCGTCAAAGAATGTGAGGAAAATGTTTCATTTGTTTTATCCGACATAGTGGGAAGATGCTTAATCCTTGTGGACATTAGCCAGCATCATCCTTTTACGTCCCTCCAAGCTAGCGTGTCCTTCGATCTCCGGTGAACGGGGGAAGCGAAAGAAACCAACGGGGATGAAGAACGAAGAGAAAGGGCCTACGCGGCGATTCGCGACATCGCATCGCGCGGAATCGAAAGGGAGACGACGCGTGTGCGGGCCGTGCAGCGGCTGCGTCGGCGGCGTCGGCGTCGGCGTCGGCGTCGGCGGCCATACGGGGGGTGAAAGTGCGCGGGGGCGAGGGATGAGAGAGTCATAAAATCGAGCGAAGTGAACGCCAGGAGGGAGACACTGAGTGATGTCGGTGACAGCCGCCTCCCTGCCCTCCTCCGCCTCCGCCGCCTCCTGTCGCTATTACTCACCCAACGCCGAATACCATTCAAAGTTCGAAACCGCACGTTCGCGACCCAATTCCTGCGTGGAGTCAGCTGTTCGTTCGGTTCATTCAAAGCTCGATCGACCACCGCCGCTGGCTGGCCGTCCCGCGGCCAGACGCGTTCAATTAATAACGGAAGGAAGGGTCAGTGAAGGGAAAAAAAGACAAAGAAGTCGGGAAGACGAGGAACGGAGGACGAAGAGATGGGAGAAGGGGAAAAGAAACTGGAAGAAAGGGGACGATATTTAGCGCGACGAGCTTTCCGTCAACCCCCCGCGACGAGCAACGAAACACAGGGGTCGGAAACGATCGACGGCCCGCGATCCACTTTTTCCCGTTCCCGGCTTCTTTCCGCGCGCTCCCGGATGACGTACGGCGGATCGAAGGCGGCCAACGAGCCGTCCGACGGCCAGCATTTAGCGGAACGCCGTTATTTGTCAGGATCATCGGATGCATTATTTAAGAGTGGCCAGCGAGCGGCCAGCTCTTTGCCAAGATGTGTCCCTGCCTATTCTACTATTTCTGGGGTTTCTAGCTTGGCAAAGGCACGCGGAAAATTTCAGGGAGCAGACCGCGTCCGGCTACGCGGGGCGGAACGCACGCGGAAACTGACGTCCAACGGACAGTTAACACTGGAGGCGTCGAAGTTTGTGTCGTCAATGTTTGAACTGAACGCGATGCATTTTTATGTATATTTTTTCATTAGGATTGATAATTAAGAGATTCAAAGATTGTGATTATTGAAGGAGGGCAGATGGGAATTTTGATTATTTAGAGTAGAGGAGACGCGTGTTTCATTGTGGATTTGAGATTATAGATTTTGTGTTGATGTGTACAAAATTCATGTATGTCGACATTTTTGGTATATTGAAATGCGATTTCTATAGTATCAAGGTTTGAAATGTCGAGTTCAGTTTTTGAAAATCGTGCGTATTTTTTAATTTGAATTTTAGTCTTCTATTGAGGAAAACGTGTAATGCGTAAACAATAGAATAATTTCGGGGCGGAATTGAAACAAACCCAATTATGGTACAATGCATCGGCGCCCAATTAATTTACCTAAATTTCGGTCTTTTATTGCTTTAGGCATACATAATTCGAAACTGCAGTGACCAATTAACAACAACAGGAAGAGCAACCAGAGTTTCCAATTTAAAAACTACTCATCTAGACAAATCAATATACAACTAAGAAAAGTAGAAAAACGTTGAAGTTGGATAAGATCCAACGACAATAAAATTCTCCCAAAATTGCACGTCTTTGTCAGGTGACACCAACAGCATCGCTCCGATTCAACAATAATTATGCAAGAAAAATCCACTGATAATAATATCAGTAAATCAACAACGAAACGCCGGTGTTACAGTAAATAACCACGATATCATATCTACATTTTTCCACCTTGATTTCGATCACAATTATTTCGATGCAATAAAAAGCGAAAGAAAACAGACACCGATACGACACCGGCACCCGTTATTACGATACAGGTTCCCAATCCCGTCGAGGATCGCCCGTGTCAGCCGCTACACGCGGCCAACATAGAAACTCCGATTCCGCCGTTTCCGTTTTCCTCTCGCGCAGAAACGGAAGGCGGTGTTCTCGAGCCCGCTACCGTCCGAAGGGTTCGTCGGTCTCTCGTCGCCGTCGTCGTCGTCGTCGTCGTCGTCGTCGTCGTCGTCGTAGTCCGTCGACGGTCTCGTTGGTAGTGGTGTAGCGATGGCGGAGAATCCCGTGGTTCGCGGTCTCGCCGTAGGAGCGCTGCGTTCGCAGTTGTGTGGTGGGGATGTGGGCGGGGCCACGGGACGTATTGGCCGCGTTCGGTGGGCGTGACCGCGCGCCTCCCACTCCTTGGCGTAGCGCGGCGCTGATTGACAGTTGGCGAACGACTGCGGACGGCGCAGGATCTAAAACCGCGCTAGGCGCTGCTCTCCACGCTCGCTTCGGTCCGCTCTTCTCTTACCCGTGGAATATCTCTTGCCCGGTGCTTTTTCGTGGGGGAAGAACTTCGAAACACGCATATTCCCGTGGCTGCCTTTGCCCGCCGGCCCGCGCGCACACAGCACACACAACATATACACCGACCTTCCACCTTCTGTCCGCCGGAGTTACGAGTGGCACACGCAGTAGTAGTTACGGTCAGGGAGGAGGGTCGCCCGCCGTGTCTCGCGGACAGCTCTCTCGCGCGTCACCTCTTCTCTCTCCTCAGCGTGCGTGACC